ACAATGAAAATCTATAAAACAGATACTCGTGCTAGTTTGCCGCTTTCAATTCAAGTTTTCCTATTATGCTAAAAACTAAAAACAAAACAAAAAACAGCAAAATAAAATAAAAATAAAAATATTATATACAAAATTAAAGCACGTTCTAGATTCTGCAATGTAGGCATTAAGAATTGGAATTCTTTCAACTTAACAATTTAAATCGATTATATTTTGTGTTTTTTGATTGCTTTTAACATTCAAGAATTAAGTCAATTTTTAGTGTAAATTTCGCTTTGCGGAATTTGTCGCGCCTTTCGTACCTTTTGTATTGTAATAAGAAAAATAAACAAACAATTTTATGATATATGAGAAAAACAAGAAATCGTAAGCAAAAACAAAAAGAATTATAAGAAAAATATAAATATTATTGTGTTTTTGATTGCTTCAGTTCGAAAATAACAACAACAACAAAAAGCAGCAAACAACAGTAACAACAGGAGCAACAGCAACAAAGCGAGATATATTTTTGTAATTTACAACACTGTTATTGCGTGTCACAAGGCAAATAAATAAAAACTTTAACTAAATGCAAAAATGCAATATACTAACAATAATAGTAAAAGAAGTAATATATGTATGTGAAAAAAATAAGTATATATATATACATATACATATATATAGAGAATCATATATTTACAGTTTTCAACTTAATGTGAGCAAAATGCGCTTCGCCAACACTTAAAAAAAATAAAGAAAGCTAAAAACTATTTAAAAAACTACAAAAGTTTCCCCCAATTTAAAGTAATTGTAAATTGCATTTAATCCAAAGATATTGCCAATCAAATGTAGATGAATTTGTTGAAAAAAAAAACACAGTTATAATTCAAAATGCAATATTATTTAAATAGTATTTCAATTAAAGCCAAACTCAAACAACAGCAGCATCAGCAACAACAACCGACAAAATATCATAAAACTTATTTTTAATTATTAATTAGTTAGTAAGCATATGCAAAAACACAAACAAACAAACATCAATAAGAACAAACACTGTACTAAATAACACAAGTCGCAAAAAATGCAAACAAAAAGCCGAAAAAACAATTCAGAAATGTTGACAAAATATGCAATGCAATAAATCGATATCGATAAATAAATAAAGTCTTTAAGCATGTTGTGTGTTCAATGCAAATATAAAAAATAAAAAACAAAATCAAACAGAGTTTTTTATTCAAATACAATCTATAAACTTTTATTTAAATTCAAACCCAAATGCGCGCCAACTTAACATTGTCTCAAATCAGTTTTGGCACTGAAATCTAGATGGCGCTTTCTGATTTGTTGGCTGACAAATGCTGTTTGGCATAAAAGTTTTTATCTAACAGCATTCATTCCACTTTGGAGTTAACAGAACTTGTTTGCCGAGGCATTAATGCATGTATGGCTTATCAGACTTTATATCATTTACAGAGTGCACGGCACTCAATACAAGTTGATTCATAGCTGTCTGCTAAGTTAACAGTGTTATGTTCAGATATTAGAGCTTTGTATAGAAATGCAGCAATTTAGATCATGTGTTTTCTTTATCTATGTTCGATTGCTTAACAGTCCAGCATGCAAGTATTACTATTGACATTTCAAGTTTACTTAACAGTTGCCAACTTCTTTATGAATGTGTCGATGTAACAGTAAGTATGCACATGTAAATAAAAAAAAAAAAAAAATTTGAGTTGTTTTTAAAAAAGTTTAGAGAAGCTTTTCTACAAGTGCACAACATCTTGGCTCTTATTGAAGTAAAATTTATCAGTACAGCATGCGGCATACCATAAGTTCTTATTAGAACAAAAGCTTCCAATAGGATATATTCTATGCTGTTAAGATTAGCCAAATGCGAAATCAATACAAGTATAAGACTATTGACTAATTATTTAAGAGCTTCAAAAAGAACAATGTGGAATATATATACATACATATTTGATCCCCCCAAAGCACATGTGCTTTCGCGCCAATTTCTATTGTCGATTCTCCTTTGTGTTTTCGTTTGTTTAGAACGTGATGTGTCAACAAAATGAAAAAATGAGTAAAATGATTTTTCCCTTGGAGCATGCGCAGTTGCCTTAGCCGGCGTCGGGAGAGAAGCAGCCTGCGAATCGTGAAAAGTTCGACGAGTGCCGAAGACTGTGACTCGACTGATGCTGTTTTCCTCGATTTCCCCTTCAAGATCAAAGATCGGCAACAAATTGTTGCTTGGATGTTTCAGTTAGTGTTTCGTGCTCGTCGAGTGTTGTTCTCGGTTTTTCCTCAACATAAAACGAAAGTTTTTGTCACAGCACACACACAGTATATACACACGTACATATATATACGCCTATATATGCTGAGTGCATATATATAGATAGTTATATATACATATTGAATTTTAATCAAAGCCGATATCTGTGCGCTGTGTGCTTTAACTAAATCGAATAACGTGTTTTAGTTTTATAAATGGTTCGTTTAATTATACAATTGCTCACCTACAAATACAAATACACTCACACAAACGCACTTGAAAATGGATTACATAATCGCAGCAAGGAAAATCGTGGAAAAACACGTTTTCCACTTGAAAACTGAAAACGAAAAACGTTTGATTAATCATGCGTTATTTAATGCGTGTGCACTTAAAGCAATTATATTTTAAAATATCATTAAATCGATGGCACTTAAGATCAGTTAGCATTCAACTAGTAAATAAAGGGGGCGGTTACAAGTGGGGGGTGTGTTTTGTGATAAAGAAGAAGAGAAAGTCGAAGTAGTGGTAGATATAATCGAAGCATGCTGCACTCTCAGCATGATTTTTCCGACCAAAAGTTTAACGAACTGAGTTCATTTCTATTTTTGAAATTTATACGAAAATGAAAGGAAGAAGAAGAACACTGAAAGAAGAATAGCAGCTAACGCACTGGCATAAAAAAAGTGAAAAGTCTGGGCTTTCCGTTGCCGCATTATGTGTGCTATGGGAACAGATCTATAAGACGCCTACACTGTGCAAATTTCCATGTGCTGCTGGACATAATGCGAGCAACGCAGAAATTATTGAGAGCAGATGAATGTACAAAGCTTTATGGAAATTTCGCGTATTGCGAAATGGCTACAGTAAATATTCGCTAAGATGTGCGGGTTTTCATAAACTATAGTATTTATGAAAATGGAGTATTTTTTGTGAATATTATTTGTTGTATTTATTTATTCCTTTTTTTTTTTTTTTTTTTTTTTTAATATTGTGTTGTTTTTTATTTTTGTTATACAATATTATTATTAAATTCCATTTTA